ACAGCGTCTTCCAGTCTCCGTGACACACGCAGCTTTGGAGGAAAGTATCAGGTTTTGTCTCCAAAACTAATCTCTCCATCCACAGAAGTCCTATTTCTGAAGCCCATAGGGGCCACCTCTACAGAGTCTAAGGTACTTTCAAATGGGGAAGATTATGAACAACCAGATGATGGCACACAGCTGGCAAACACACATTCTCAAAAAAAAAAAAAAAACAATGGAAAAAGCAAGGTTCAAGGAAGGAGGGAGGCGCAGGCAAGGCACATACTAGAGCATGTTCCGGAAGAAGGGCATGCAAAGCCTACTTCTGGGACAGTCAGTGGGAGTGGAGTGTAGAGGCATGAAACTGCCAGGCATTCTGGGAAAACTCATGCTTGAGGCCTGGGTACAGTGCTGAGCCAGGGGTACAGCGACTGCAAAGTGGGTCTGTCTGGCCAGGTGATCTGAAGGCAGAGCTACAGTCTGGCCTTCTCCTGCACAGCAACATTCCCTTTGTTCAGCCAAAAAGCCGTCTGGGCTGCAAGACCAGGATGAGGGGACACAAACAGCTGAAATGAAGGTATTCAGGAAATTGGGGATGCAAGTGCTGTACCTCTGGAACTTAGAAACTAAGTTTTCCCAGCACCAGAACTCAAATGCCAGCTGTGAAGGAGGAAGACATTCTGAATTTGCAGAAGTTTAAACAAAAAACGACAAAGAGGCTGCTGGATTGCATGGGGTTGCCTGCCCATGAGGAGATCAGGACTGTGGCCACAAATATGAGTGAAGTTGTTAGAGAGAAAGAGAGCAAAGGTCTTGCAACTTGCTTCTGTAAAAGTTATCAGATGCTGGGCCCATTGTGAAAGGGTAAGGCCAGCCTTCCACCTTTAAGGCTTTCTAAGGTTTGCATTAATTTGATCTGGGACTAACTCCATTTCATTATCCCCCCCTTATCCCCACCCCCACGAGGTCCAATTCTAGGGAATTGAACAATTGGGAATATGGTATTAACTGACCTTCAAAACAGCACAGCCAAATTAATAGCAGAAGCCAGGGAGCAGATATGTCTCCTGAGATGCTCCTGGCACCTTACCCTGCAGTTTCCCAACTGGAGGAAGAGAGGTATTTGCATAATCAGAAAATGAAATTGGAGACGGTTCAGCTTGGGTCTTGAAAGTCAGCCAGGTGCCCTGTGTTGGTGCTGTTAGGGTGTGGAGAGCCCTTTAAGAAGTGGTGGAAGGGGCACACAATGCCTGGCTCAACCTGAGACCCATCCCATGGGAGAGACCCAACCTCTGACACTATTAACAATACTCTGATATGCTTGCAGACAAGAGGCCAGCATAACTCTCCTCTGAGTGGCTCCACCCAGCAGCTGATCGAAACAGATGCAGAGACCCACAGCCAAACATTAGCTCAGGGAGTCTTGTGGAAGAGTTGGTGGAAGGATAGAGGGACCCAGAGGGGACTTGAACTTCACAAAAAGACCAACAGAGTCAACTAAATAGGGACCACAGAGCTCACAGACACTGAAGCACCAACCAGAGAGCATGCATGGTCTAGACCTAGGCCCTACACACATATGTAGCAGATATGTGGCGCCCCTAGCAAGTGGAGCCGGGGCTGTCTCTGACATGGACTCTGCGTCTGCTTTTGGATCACTCTCCCCTACCTGGGCTGCCCTGACAGGCCTCAGTGGAAGAGGATGCGCTTAGTCCTCATGAGACTTGATGTGCTGGGGCAGGTTGGTAGGTGGGACTCCCCTTTTCTGAGAAGAAGGAGAGGTGGAAAGGGGGAGGAGGGTTGGAGGGCAGGACTGGGAGGAAAGAAGAGAGGGGACTGTGATTGGGATGTGAAGTGAATAAATAATAATAATAATAATAATAATAATAATAATAATAGTAATAGTAGTATTGAATAATAATAAAGTGGAGCGACCTTCCTCCCCTCTTTTCTCCTTTCCCTATTTCCCTGAACAGACATTGACTGAAGGCCTGATATAACCACCATCTCATCTGCTCTCCTTTTTACTTCTTACTTGCTATTTACCAGAGCTTTGTATGTCATTAAATATTCATCAGCATAATTAAAAAGCTAGAAAGCAGTGACAAAACTAACACATAATATTATATTATGTCTGTCAAGTGTATATTCAGGCTGTCCCATAGGCATGGGCACGTTGTGGGCACTGGGAGGTGGCATTTTATCAGAATCCCACACAGATCCGTCCTAAGAGGAACAGTTTCAGCCTTAGCGATGAAGGTTGGAGATGTTCACCCAGGGCCCCTCAGCTTGTTGCAGAGACATGCACACACCTTGTCCAGGCCTATCTCTGAACAGTGGCCACCTGAGCACCCCCTGTACCTCAGGGCTTCTTGACACACCCACTTAAAGCACTTGCAGTTCTTCAGATGCTGTCCTCAACCTCTGTACCATTGGTGACACAGTTTCCAGTTACCAGGAAACAGAACATCATTGTAAGCATATACTTGGTGTCTACTTCATTATAACTAATAAAGTTTTATTTAAAGCCTAGCTCTTCAATGTGTTTGAATTGATGAACAAGGGCATTAAAGCCATGGGAGGTGAAATCAAAAGCGTGGGATCAGACACTTCTTACGTGTCAGAACCAGCAATGAACCAGGAACTTTGAGTCTACTACTGAGGCCTAGAGTGACATTAAGTAAAGCAACACATGTACCATATCTTACAGAAAACTGATGGAGTGGCTTTCATCCCCTCTTTTCTGTTGAGCCATACTGAAGACAAAACCCAGGGCTTCATAAATGAGACGTATGCGCTAAACCATTGCACTGTGTCCCGGCCTTGAGACAATCTTATGACAAAAGACAGCCTCCATCTCCAGCTGATCCCATGCTTCGTTTCTTTTCCCACCCACAGTTCTCCCTTCATAGCCTGTCTATTTCTAGGAATTCAATCAAGTGTGGATTTTAAATTAATTTTAATTGAGCTTGTACTGAATGTGCAAGGCTTTTTCTCTTGTCATTATTTCCTAAACAGCAGTCTAAGAGAGTGATTCTCAGCACCACCACCCCCTTGCATTAGGCATCATAAATCATCCAAACATGAGTTCAAGTGTATGCAAGGATGGGAAGGGCTCTGTGCAGATTCAGTACTGCTTTATGGAAAGGGCTGAGCATAGTGGCTTTGGGGGGCTGTATTGGTCCTCAAGCTAGTGCCCCGCAGCCGCATTTGTTTATCTGTTTCTATTAACAGCATTAGCAGGCCCATATCTAGAAATGGTGTGCTCCTCGGCATTTATAATCATGATGTATTATCCATACATCAGTTTTCTGCCCTGGGAGCTGATATATAGCATGCACATGTGTGTGTGTGCGCACACACACACACACACACATACTGTCTCTGTCTCTCTCACAGATTCACACATGCAGTTCTCTTTCAAGTACTGTTTTAAGTAGATGTTTGATATATACTTTATTATGTCTAATAAAGTTTTATTTAAAGCTCAGCATTTGAGTAGAATTTTCTTCTTGGTAAATTTGTTTTCCCAAGGTTAATCTATGGCGTGTACTATGCTAAAGGTTTAAAAAAACAAAAATAGAACCCCTTTACTTTAGAGGTGCAGAATGAGATGTTGGTGGTGGAATTGCAGGAAGCCTGGAATTCGGTTTGAACAGCTGTGGCAGGGGTGAGGGTTGGGATGCTCTTCTGGCCTTCAGAGAATGCTGGAAGCACTTCAGCCATCCCCGACCCCTCCACCATTAGCTACCACATCACTAGGTGCAATCTCCCAGATGCACTGTGGCCCACGGTACTGGGAGGCCTATAGACACAGGAAAGTGGGTGGGGAGTATTACTCTTGAACCTCAGTATCACAAATGGAAAAATCATGCTTCCTCTGTCTATGCTCTACGCACTGGATCTTGTAAGAGAAAACCAGTCCTCTCTGGGGTACACACAGCTCCCTTTGTGTCTCTCCTAATGGAGTGATGTGGCTCCTTAGGATGGGACCCTGCTGCTGGGATATCATGAGGAAGAGGGTCCTTAAAGGAAGCTGAAGGAGCATAGTCGCAGCTTAGAAGCTTCATGAGTGGATTGTTCTTTCTTTGTTAGCCATGGGATTCCCTTCTTATTAACTTCCTGACACAAAGACATCAAAGGCCTGACCACTGTTGTGAGCCTGAGAGAACTGGGGCACACAAAGGTCTGTGTAAGCTATGAAGGCTGAAGATGGCTTCTTAATATCTGCAGAGATAGAACTCTGAACACAACCATTGATCCAGGCCCAGAGAATGCACCAAGGCTTGAACCACAGACCAGGAATCCTAGTTCTACTACTTATCAGCTTTAGGGTTCTACTTCTCCTGAATGTTCTCACTACAAAATGAGAAAAATAACTCTACCAAGAACTGGCAACACAAGGGCTGGCACATTTGGGCCTCTGTAGAAAAGTATAAAATATCTTTTTACTTGCCTGATGCAAATTGTTGTCTCAGAGGCTTACTGCCTTCATCTGCTAACCTAGACCTAGTCCTGAAAGCATCTAGCCTTTTACCTTGGCCTAGAATGTTTCTATCTTCTGAGGATTAGGAGGCAGTTTTATTGGGAGAGTTTTACAGAGACAGGTTGAAGAGAGAACAAGCTAGACACAGGTAAAGACAGATGAGCCAGAGAATAAGAAGGAGCCAGAAGATTAGAACATATTGCCAAAAGTTAGTATGAGGTCAAACAGAGCAATTCAGTCAGAAGCTGAAAGAAGCCAGATTGAATAAGTCAGCTTGGAAACGAGTTTGAGCCAGCACAACTGATCTGAACCAGCCAGCCAGGGTTCAGAAACATCTAGAAAGGGTGATCTTATTTAGCAGTAAATCTCAGAAACTGAAAACATTCTAGGTCTAGGTTAGATTGTATGGAGGCTAGAAGCCTCCAGGACTAGGTCTAGGTTAGTAGAAAGGGTCAGTAAGCCTCCAAAACACAAACAAAACCAACCACAAATTGCCCGAACATAAAGTAAAAATGAATTCCACTATTGTGCATTCATTTTTAAAGTACCCTTTATGAAAAACAGAACATGTAACACTCATTGTGACAACAGAGAGCTGCATCTTCCTTACATAAACTGCTGGAGACCCATCCTATAAACAGGCAGAGGTCTGTGTGAAGAAGGTGAGGTGATTTACCCCTCTAAATCTTGGTAATGTGGACTTAGAAGGAAGGTGTGTTTGTGTCCTGTGGCACAAAAGAGATTGGACCTTAGCATTGGAGAGCCAATGTGTGTGGCACTGTGTCTATGCTGAAAGCATATGTATACTGCAGGCTGTAGGAGACAGACAGACAGACATAAGACCAACCCAGGGGGTCAGAAGAAAGATGAACTGCCTTGAGACACTTCCTGTGTTTCCCCCTGGGTCAGTCCAAGCCCAAGGTCCTGCTGGCCTTCTTGGAATTCAGAAAATTCTTTTTCTTCTTGGGAGGAACACGGAAAGAGATTTCAGGCTCCTTTGGACTTCTGAATACAAAGATCTTTTCTCCTGTGTTTAATATGTCCATGGTGTCTGCCCCTGTGATGGGGATGGCTGCTAGTTCTCCAATGGGCTCTACAGATAGGTGTGGCCAGCTTCCTTTCCCAGAGAACATCACCCTCTCCTGGACGGGAACATATATCTTCTTCAATAAACTGCAGAGAAAACAAAAGGTCAGTTTCTGCATTCTGAGCCCATTCTGAGTATTCTGACATTTCCCCAGGAGAACCCCTTTAGGTCCTGACACCCCAAATAAAGGCCATTTTATTTCATTTTTTTATTTGTATGCTTCTGTGTGAGCCAGGTTTGTGTACTGCCCATGGAGGCAAAACAAACAAACAAAACAACAACAACAACAACAAAAAACCCACAGTGCAACCCCTGGAGTTACAGGCTGTTGTGACTGCTCAATATGGGTGTGGGAACCAATTCCAGTCCTGTCAAGAGCAATGGCGTAATCACTGTTCTATTGCTATGAAGTGACACCATGACCAAGACAATGCTTATAAAGAAAGCATCTAACTGTGGGCTTGATTACAACTGTAAAGGCTTAGTCCATGAGCATCCTGGCAGGAGCATGGTGGCATGCATGGTGTTAAAACAGTAGCTGAGAGCTGCGTGACACTGAGCCTGACCTGGACTTTTGAAACCTCAAAGCCCACCTCCAGTGACACTCTTCTTCCCTAAAGGCCACACCTCTTAATCCTTTTAAGCAGTGCTGCTCCCTGGTAACTATGACTGAAACTATATGAGCCTATGGGGGCCATTCTCGTTCAAAATATCACAGGCAGCAAACATTTTTAACCACTGAGCCATCTCTCTAGCCCTGGGTGCTGGCCACCTTTACTGGCTCATAGTGTGAAAGGTTCAGAAGTTTTGTGGGCCCACTGTACACTGTTATCTTACTGTCCAGGGGCAATGACACTGTGGGAACAGGCAGAGTTCTCTCTGTCTCCACTACTCACCTGCCAGCCTCCTGCTAAACACTCAACACTCTACCCCACAGACCTCACCCTGCAGACAGGCTACAGACAACTGGGAGAAGTTGGGTAGAACACATCTGAGACAGGATGTGGCAGGTCTGCCATAATCCTGTTCCTGGAGCCCTGGCTGCCACTGTTGCTATTATAACTGTTCCTGAGAGCCACATGTGACCTTAAAGCTACAGTATTCTCCCCTGGCTCCCAGCAATATAGGGAAAGGCCATATCAATTGGGTCTACCTGGGAGGCTCGCTGGCTCTCCCTGAGGTGTTGTGCAGGCTCAGCTCTCCTGCCACCACACCCTTGCATTGGAGCCTGGGAATCAGTTCTCTCTGTCTGCTAATGGAGACTGGGCCCAAGGCCTCTCATGACTGGTATCCACTCTATACCATCAGCACAGCACAGCACGTGCAGGGAGAAGACCTTCCAACTTCGCTTACAACAGTGCTGTTTCCAGCCTGAACTTGAATTGACTTCTCCTGCCCGACATTTTGATCATTTTATTTTTTGGGTGCTGTAATCTGATATCTAATCTATTATCAATGGTTTCATGCTTTCCATACTAGACAATCCATGGCACGGAATCTCAGGACCTTCACCTCTGAGAAACTACAGAAGGGCAGGGCTTGGACAGCCACACATTCCAAGTAAAGAGAGGATGAAACTATTAAGGCCAGCTGTGTTACTCTGTGTCTGCATGTATGTGGTATACATGCATGTTCCTCTGGGGGTGTATTTGCATGTGGCGGCCAGAGGTTGACATGTGGTGTTTTCCACAATCAACTTTGCACCTTGTTTTTAAATATAGGGTCCCTCTTTGAACACAGAGCTCACCAACTGGCTAGGCTGGCTGGCCAGTGGACTCCAACAATCCTCCTGCCTCTGCCTGCCCAGTTTGGGACCTATACGTTAGGTCTTTGCCCTTGTCACCAGGCCAAGCATTGTAGTGGGAGGTAGCGATAGGAACTCAGGTCTTCAGGCATGCATGCCAGGCACCTGACAAGCTGAGCCACTGCCTCAGCCTCAGGACATCTCTTCTTAAGGCACCACGTGCCACCTATGTGACATTATTTTCTAATCTCCTCTACTCGGAACCACAAGGGACCCTTGCTCCATGGTCTGTGGCAATGTGAAATGTCTTGCCCTCCCTTCCCTCTGAGATCTAGGTGTGCAGAGATCACAGCCAAGAGAGACGGGCACTAGACAGGAATAGGTAAGCTTGGAAGTTCACGGGAGGGGAGGGTGAGTTTGACAGCCCCAAGCCCACGGCCACTATGGCCCCACCCCACCTGCAGTGTTGGGCCTACACATTGGACCTCCCGAAGCTTTGGTTTTATCATCTCCACTTTCTGGAAGGTTCATAGTAACAAGAAGCAGAAGGGGTTTGGAAAGAGGAAAATCTGAAGAACTCTAAGGAATTATTCTTTTTCTAATTATATCTCATTAAAACCTGCTATTAGTTAAATAAATACAGTAATTAAAATGCTAATAAATGTTAGGAGAACATTCTCCAATGGAGAGCTACAGGTTTGTCTTCAGCTTTTAAAGTAAGACCAAGAACAAAAACGCGTTGCCTTCTGGGAAAGAACTTTCCCACCTTCTTATCCCCTCCCCAGCAACCTGCCCATACCCCAGCAGGCCTTTCCCAGGCTCCTTACCTCTCCTTTTTCCGGAGGGCCCAGAGCATCCTTTCTAGTCCTTGACTCACCAGATCTGCTCTCAGCCTGCTGTCCAAAGCTTGCCACCAGCCCTGGTGTTTCCTGATGCAGAAGGAGGGTGTTACAGTTTAAAATTGAATCAAATCTAATTCTTAAAAGCCCCTTGGGGCTCTACCCAGAGATTTGCTGAGTATCAGTCTCAAGCCTGGTCCACAGGTAATTCCTGCCTGGAGGGGAACATAGGCAGAGACAGACAACATCAATCAGGTGGAGGCAAGCTGTACAAAGAAGGGCGTTCTGTGAGGGGTGTCCTAAGGGAATGTGCTGACTCCTGCGTCCCCTGCACCCATGGTGCACACTCAGTGCAGGTGGGGTTTTCTTTTACATTCCACAGAGTCCTAGTGCTATAGACATAAGGACACAGTCAGAGCTTGGAGTTGTACTGCAGATACAGGAATGCAAATATGGAGTCTTGGAAGGTGGCCAGGCAGAGTGTTGGAGGCCGCCTGGCTGTGTAACTCCAGGCTAAAGGAGACAGACAGAGGAAGAGCTGTTGTGGGCCTTGGGTTCAAACAGGCACAGGATAGCACAGAATTGAGAGAGGCCTGTCATTGTGGTTCTAAGCTACTAAGCTAGAGGTGGGGACAGTTGCTCTTAGGAATCCATGACCTCCCAGACAGAAAAAGGTATTTGATGGTTGCCCCTCCTGCAGTTGATGCTGGGTCTCCCCTAGATGCCACATGTCCCTCAGGATGCCTGCTCTCTCCTAGTTGCCAGCTTCTATTACTTAAAGCCCAAGACTCTGAGTTCATGTGATGCCCAGGCCCCAGGGTCCCAAGAGTGACTGATCCACCTTCAGGCCCTGACCAGGAGCCAGGGCAAAGAGGGGGAAGGTGCATGTTCATCTCATGACAGGCATCCAAGTCTTCCAGGGCCCAGTCTAGCCTGTCAACCCCCTCACAGCCTTGGAGATTAACTGGCCTCAGAATGGAGTATGTAGAGACTAGAGCTACTGAATCAGGAGCCACAGTCACGGCCACAGCCACACCCAGTCTCCAACAAGACCTACAACTGGCCTTCTGAAATGCTTACTTCCAGCCTTCTGATCACAGCCACACCCAGTCTTTGGAACACTCTCACAGCTGTTCTCTGACCACAACACCCCAGCGACATCCATGTCCGGCCTTCTTACTGTACTCACTCTTCCGGTCTCACCCAGATCTGACTCGGATAACTCTGCTGCTAGATCCACAGGCACTAAGATGGATCTTTTAGCCGTTAAGACTCCTGCCTTTCCCTGCCTTTGCCTCCCTCGGCCTCTTCTCACTGCAGCCTACTCATTTTGTCATCTGCAAACTTAAGCCTTTGACTCAAAGTTTGTGACTGATAAAAAGAGACTGCTCCTTTTATATGGAAAAGCAATGGCCCACAGGACAGCTGCTCAGGCATATTGGGGCCAAATCAGTAGTTTCCTAGATGCCAGGTGCCCATCCTAGCTGCCTAAGGATCCTGACTGAAGTTGGTTCTGCAGTCTTCCCCAATTTTCAGTCTGTTTACTTACTTTGTAGTCCGGGTACCATAGACTCTGTTTTCCAGTGTCACTGCTGAGAACATCCCAAACCTTCCTCTACGTCATGTTTCCTCCTTTTCCTTATTTAAAAGTATATATACTCATATACTCATATACAAACATTGTGTGTATATGACTGCTATGGTAGGAGGACCTGGTATGGTCAGAGCTGACTCAAGTTAGACCTGGACCATAACACTAAATAAAAGCTTGAGGGCAGGTATGTGATGAGACAGAAATAGGCCCCAACTGCATATCCCAGAAGAGGGGACAGTCACACACACGATGCCACACTGTTGGTGAAGTCACCAAAACTAATGTTTAGGGAAATTCCAGTGAGAGGCATAATGTTTAAATTCATAAAAATAGCAGGAAATACAGTGTAGCTAGTAACACAAGAACTGGGCAGTCAGAACTTGCTCTGCTACAAGGTCTGAAAGGCAGACAGTAACAGTATACACACAGCACACTCCCTGAACCCTGGAACAAGCCTGTCCACGCCGACCTAAAATGGCTTCATTCACATTCACGCTGTGACGGTGTGCCGGCAACAGGCATTCAGCAGAAATGATACTTTGAAATTTGAACTCCAGGCTTCTCCAGGCACCTTCTGGGTGTGGGCTGCAGGAGGGGCAGCTCTCTCATCAGCCATGGGAGACACTCTGCAGGGAGTCCTACAGCTGGGTCCAGACACACAGAACATGTTTACCACACTGTCCATTGAAGGTATCTTTGATTTGTAATCCATTTGTGAGAACATAACCCCATTGTAAACTGATGCCTGTTCATATTTAACATAGGCAAGACAGACATGCACACATGCAAATACATACACAAGCACATCTCAGGGCATACCAAAGCACATATGTATATACAAAGAGTCACAAAACTGTTCTGTCTTGGCAGAGAAGCATGCTGCAAATGAAGAAATATAACTGAATGCTAACAGCCATTTTTTTTAACCATCAGGAAAACCAGGAATACTTTCTTCTGTTTCTCTCTGTGAACTTTTAATATCTTTGTAACGGCATGTTTAATAAATATTCTGATGTCCCTAGAGAAACGTGTGTTCTGAAGACTGGATGTTGGTGATAAAAATAGAAGGCACTGGACCTACTACTCAGGTCTACTAAGACGAGCTCTGAGCAGCAAGGGCAAGCTGGGAAGGTCAGTGGACCAAACTCTTCTTTTGGTTCTTGGAGGGAGGTCAAACCTGCCTTTACAGGAAGCAACCCCCCCCCCCCCCGAGCTCACCTCCTCTTGCCCTGCTCAGCCTGCTCCACACTGCTCTCATTCTCTGTGTGGTCTGAGTGCTTTTCACTGACCGTATCCAGCAGGGCCAGTAGCTGAGGCTGTGAAGCTGCTGGAAGCACCACATTCAGGAGCCGGAGGAGTGTGCTCCCTGGCAACATTGTCATCCTTGAGAGGTACGACACCAGCCTCAGTCCCTACGGGAACGCAAAAGGGAAGAACTCAAGTCCTGGCTCGCTCTAGACATGCTGTGCGGCAATATCTAATTCATGACACTCTCAAGGTTTACATTGTCCCGGGGTGCTAAATATTTCAGTGGCTCAGCCTGGAAAACATTCTGAATTCACAGAGCTGTCAAAAAAAATGTCTTTGGTCAGCAGCCTTGGCACCACAGTATCTCTAACAGTTCAGCCACCCCTTCCAAGTGAGCTCACTTGAATGGAGCCAGCATCACGGCACAGGAGCCCCAGCCTGCATCAGGGCAGTCAGGCATACTTCTCCATCTCCTGCTCTACTTCTGGGAGGCCCTTGGGATAATGCAAGCTCTGGGAATAGCTGAATGTCCCTACACCAGTGGACGACTGGAGCCACTGTACCACTGACACATGAAAGGCCACTCAGCAACAAAAAGGGAGGGCTGCTGAGCTCGAGGACTCTATGGGGAATGGAAATGGTCCGTCTCCACAGGACCCAGGCTGCACACTCTGGCTGAACATGGAGGAAAGAGAGAGAACAGACCTGTGGCTGCTGGGGTTGGAGACAGTGAGTGTGGCAATTGCTGTGAAATGACATATGGGGAGGTCTCTGCTGGATTGGATAGTTCTGCATCTTTATTGTGGTTACAGGAATCTACTGTGATAACAGGATGGAAAGCTCTATGAATGTTTCATACCAGATTTGATGTGCTCCCAGGCAAAACCAAGGAAACAAGAAACAGAAGGTGGCTGAGGTAACTTTCTAGACCCTAATATCCTATAGCCTAAAACTGGACCAAACACTAAGGCTTTGGGCCATGTCTTTATTGCTCAAATTTCTCATCTGCAAAGTGAAACTACTAACAGTGTTGCAAAGGGTTTGGCAAGGGCACAGTGAGCTGGGCTTTGCCCAGTGTGGCAATACATGACTATAATCCCAGTAGTTGAGAGGTGAGACAGGGGATTGCCATGAGTTTAAGTCCAGTTTGAGTGATACCCTGCCCCACCATCAAAAAGAACAAAGAGCGAAGGGCTCTCCAAGTGCCACCAAGGTCAAAATAAAAACCTCTCCTCCCAGTTGCAGGGTGGCCATTGTTGACATGTCCCCCCCCCCAGCCCCTGCCAATCAGAGCCCTTCCCTAATTTTACTGGGCAAGATAGTCTGGTGTCCAGCAAAGCCAGCCATGAGTATGGAGAGTATGACAGATCTATATGTGGAGAAAGTTCATGAGTGGACAGAGTGAAGAAAGGAGTTGGAGAGTCCACTCTATCTGCTCTGCTGTGGCAAAGGACTGCGGTTATGAGAATGTTGTTAGAAGAATCACTGTTAAACTGTAGTGTGTAGGGGAAATTGACAAGAAAGACATCTGTACACATGAGCCAGATGCAGCCAACTCAGGCCTCACTATAAATAGGACCATGGTGGCAGTCAAGGGAATTTGTCTTGTCCTGGGGACAAAGAGGCTCAGCGACACAGCTGGTGTCATTATCATACCTGCTGGACCTAGGTTGATCATGAGCCTGAGGCTAGACGTGGCTGACACTGGGAGGATGTTCATTCTGAGAACGGGAAAATGTTCATGGACAGGGACGGGCCCTCTCACCTGACTGCACAGGTTAGCCATGGTGTCAGCCTCCATGCTTTCCAGAGAATCTTCCAGCACTGCACTGTTCTGCCGCTCCTCTTTCACCCTAGAGTGAAGAAGAAATCCAGAGGTCTAGCCCAGCCAGAGGGAACTGACAGGAGGCCAGCTTGCTGTGTACATGACAGAGACTCATTGTTAAGAGCTGCAGCAGGGAAAAAAGGAAGAGCTGGCCTGGGCACTGGCTTGTCCCTCCTCACCTGGACCACTTCCTGCAGAGTACAGGAGACTGACAGAGGACTGGCCCTCCTGTGAGCTGAAGGAGCGTGGCTCTGTGGCTCTCGGGTGCCCTGTGGGCCTGATCCATAAACTCAGTCTTGGTCCTCCTGTCTAGAACCAGGGAGACTAGCACCTGGGGTCCCCACCTGCTTCTGCCCTGGGCTAAAGCAGAGACAAAGTCACTGTCCACAGACAGTCACAGACAGACCTGATCTGGTGGCAAGGCCAGCCGGCAGCCCACCCATGTGGGCTCTGTGTCAAAGGTGAGGACACACATCCGCCCCACAGTCCCACTCGCTATCACAATCGAACCCAAACCCAGCCCCCGTCTCCGGAACATTCTTTCAGGGATCAGGAGAACATCATCATCATCATTGTCGTCACTGTCATCGTCATAATCATCATCGTCATCGCCATCATAGTAATAACGTGTAAAAGGTCCCAGCCTAGGTCAAATCAACACGTCTGCGCTCATCCCTCTCCGACAGAGATTCAGCCCCTCCATCGGTTAATTCCATGCAGGGAAACTGCACTTTAATGTTGTGTTTACATAGGAAACCAAACTCAAAATCACCGTAATCCCCTCACCCAGAAACCAAATGGAGTGCTTCCTCCAGTTAATTTGTGTGCTTCTGTATACAGTTTGTATCTGCTGCTTTACACAGGGATGCCATAGTCACAGCGGGGAGAGCTGCAAGGAATGGCATTCCTCCAGGAGCGCTGTGCGCCACAGGCAAAAGCTAATTGTATGATGTTAATTGTAAAAAAAAAAAGAAAAAGAAAAGAACAAATAAGGTTGGGATCTCTCTGTTTTGAAGCTCTACAGAGGCGGGGTCTACAATTCTGCAGCTCAGTGAAATCGGAGCAGAGCTCTCCCTACGCCAGAGCTATCTCTTGGTGCTGAAGCTGTGCTGTGATGGTGTAAGATGCTATCAGGGGGAGAAGCTGGGTAGGGACATATGGGACCTCTCTCTAATTTCCTCACAACTTCTTGTAAGTTTCTAATTATTTGAAAATAAAAAATTTAAAAGGAGCCAGGTATGGTGGTGCACACTTTTAATACCAGCACTAGAGAGGCTGAGGCAGGCAGATCTCTGAGTTCAAGGCCAGCCTGGTCTACAGAGTGAGTCTGGGACAGCCAGGGCTTCACAGAGAAGCCATTTTTGATGGTGGCATTAGCAGATAAAGGACTTGCCACCAAGCATAAAGACCCAAGTTCAATCTCCAGGAACCACATGGTAGAAGCAGAGAATTGACTCCTGAAAGTTGTCCCCTGGCCTCCACACATGTGCTGTGGCACATACGTGTACACACACATATATACACACAATATACACACACACAGATTTTTTAAAAAATGCTTTTGAAAAAGTTAAAAATATTATTAGTAAACCTTAGTGATATTCTTTAAAAAATAAATTATAGAAGACATTAAGGAAGAAGAAAGCTGGCATCCTTCAACAATAGCAGAACTTGGTGATGGCGCCTGAGGCTATCACCTAAGGGCTTCTGGCCTGAGGGAACCAGAGGAACCGCCCAACCCACTCAGAGTGAGAACCACCCACCTACCTCTGCTGATGCTGTTCCAGTATGTTCTGGCCCTTGCTCAGGGCCTGCCGCAGGATGGCAGACACCTGCCTTTCAGGGTCCATATCCCCAGGTTCGCTCAGCCCAGGCCCATCGGCCACCCACTGTGGCCAGCTCTCCAGGACCTGCTGCTGCTCAGCTACTTCCTGCTGCACCAGCCGGTCCTCCAGCTTCCTCTCCAGTTCCTGCAGCTCCTGCAGATGAAGGAGAAGGGGTGAGTCCCACTGATGCCAAGTAGGCAGGTGAGTGAGCAACATTACAAGTGTCTGGATGCCCCTCTGTGGTTAAACACCCCTGAAGCTGAAGTTAGGTCCTGGCCAAACCAGAAAGGAAAGCATCCAGGTCACCCATGTGTATTCAAGAATGGTCTGCCTCCCCAAAAGATTATGACAAGCATAGAATCATTTGAATTGTGTTTTTTGACCTCCCTACCATTCCCACAGACTTGTGGGGAATGCCCTAAAAGGGAGAGCAGATACATGTATATTTTGAGACATCTCGTGTTATGACTATGCCACCCACCTCATAAATGTTGATAAATATTTCTTTTAGATCCACACCTCAGAACCCTCTGATGTGCTGTTCCCCACTTCGGGAGAGCCTACTCCAATCTCTCTTGAGGTCATAGTTTGCTAAGTACATGTTTGCTTAAACTTCTGAACCTCTGAATTGAATTCTTTCAGGAAGGTAGGACCCAGAGACTTCAATAACAGTGCTTTAAAAAGAGGCTATTTCTGTGCCTCTCACCCGGGCATAGAAATGTCATGGGTAGCTCTAAGTGTCAGACACTGACTATGTGCCTTGGACTTAGTGACAGCACAATGAATGTTGGCTAAGATTAACACCACTTTCGCTTTTGATCTCAAGGTACCGAAGATCAGCTGTACTGGATGGCAGAGTTGGAAGTGTGAAAGCTCAGGCAGAGTCAACAACCTACAGCGACTGGAGCACAGGCAGTGCAGCTGGTCTTGGAAGCTCAGCACATGAGCCTCACACTGAGCTGCAAATATAGCAGGGACCATTAGTCTGGGGTTACGCCTTCTTTCTGAGTAAGCCCGTCCTGTTTAAATTTGCCCATCTTCGGCACACAGTCTCCACGGCACCTTCTCATAGTCCAATTTCACAAAAGGAATCTAAATTGTTCGCAGAATGAGATGCACGCCACGGACTCTCCTCAGGAATCATTTCTTCCAAAGCTTTCCATTTCATGCTTTTTAAATTCTCCAAATGCTTAACAGCTAAGAAGCTCATTACAACAGGAAAGTACTTGGCACAGAACGATCGCAATGCAGAATGAGAGTCTCACACAGAGCAAAGCAGGCTGCCTTCTCTCCCCGTGCGAACCAGGAAGGTGCAGCCTGTCCACCATCTTACTGCCAACTAGAGAATGCAGGGTCTGATTTTTCTCTTGGTTGCTTCTGATACAGGACTGTCTCCCCTACCCCCACCTCCATTTCCCCTTGCAGGCAACTGTGATGGGAAGCTCTGACATTACTCAAAAGAGTTCTGAGATGAAATGAGAAAGGCGGATGTTGTGTTCCCTAGGAAGTCTAAGACAGGATGGGGCATCTGAGATGGACAGTACTGGCCCTGGAGGGTGCATTTCAAGCACTGAGATGCCTTAGTGTCTCACTGTCCAACCTCCCTAAATGACCTTGGGCATGTCTTTCCTGTTTTTGAGGGGTGCAATAGGTTTTGGATTATTATTATTATTTTTTGTTTTGAGACAGTTTCTCACTACTTAGCCCTCATTGCCCTAGAACTCCTTATGTAGACAAGGCTGGCCTTGAACTCACAGAGATCTGAGTGCTGGGATGAAAGGCATGCAATACTATGCCTAGTTGTCTTACCATCTTAAGGGCTCTTTTCCTCCAACTAGAATTTGGAACACTGGTCTATCTCCATGCCAGTTACCCTCAAATGAAACACTTGTTACATGCTTTGATAGCTGCTCTGTGGAGGCTTCCCCTAGTCACTAATTTTCTGAGGAGTTCTATCTTGAGTGTGTGTTAAAGTCTACCAGGGCCTCTGTATGTGCTAAAATGGTCATGCGGGCAGTTTCCTCCCCCTTTACCCTGCTAAGCTGGTGAGTTTTGTAAACCAATGTCCTAATGTTAAATTTCTGGAAATTCCTTATGTTCCTGGAGAAAACTCAACCTGGCCACAATAGATTAGATTACCCTAACAGGTGGATGGGTTATGTTAGTCACTATCATGGCCATAAAGTTTACAGCTGTGTTCACTGCTGCAGCTGTTCTGTCTGATAACACCTGGGTCTCCTGTTGGGGTCCAGCTTATCTGAGAATAATATAAAAAGGTAAACAAGGGTCTTCTTTCCAGCATGAGGGATGATGTGAGCATGAGGCTGGTGGTGTTTTGAGAGAACCCTCATAGGATCATATGTCTGAATCCTTGGTCCCCAGTTGGTGGAATTGTTGAGGAAGGGTTAGGAGGTATAGTCTTGATGGAGGAAGGGCAGGCTTTCTGAAGTCTAATACTATTCCCTGTGTGCCTCAGTTTCCTGCTTGCCAATCAAGACGTTCCTGCTACCATGCCTTTGCTTGGCCATCATTCACTCTAACCCTCTGAAACAGCTCAGCTAAATGCTTTCTTTTGTAAGCAGCCTTGGTCATGATATTTGGTCGCAATAGATAGGCAACTAAGGCAACTTTATGGTTTGCTGTAACCTGCCTAAGAAATACCAGGGCTGGATGTATTTGTGGCAGTAAGCGCAGGTCTGTAATTTCCTTTCATGGTTTGGAGACAGAGAGTGCTTCCTCCAGGCTCCTCTGTTGATGGTCTCACCTCCAGCTTGTGGGTGGATCGCTGAAAAGTGAGTATCACGAGGTGAGTATCATGGATCATGAGGGCTCTGATGTAATCAGTGTGTGCCCTGCTCATGGACTCAGAACGTGATGGTAATTTTGAGAAGTGGGGAAGCTGGACGCAGGACCTGGCTGGAAGAAGTACGTCACTGAGGGAATGCCAGCAATGCTAGCTCTTGCCCCTGGACACTTCCATCTTTGTCTGCTTCCTGGTCACCATTAGGTGAGCTGCTCTGTTCCTCTAGGTGCTCATGCCATGATGCTCTGCCTCACCACAGTCTGAAAGCAGTAGAGCCAGGCACTAAAGCCTCTCAAACCATGAGACCAAATGAAGCTTTCTCCTTTACGCTTTAACACACTTCCAAGCCAATTGCATCTCTTGCCTTAAAACTATACACATTTTCCTACTAGAGTCAACTTTTGTCATTTATATTTACTTAGAAAAATTCCCACCGTAATTACCATCAAATTTATCTATAAAATGCTCTTCTTTATAATATGCAATTTTAAAACCTCTACTGCATCTCTGGTTATAAACCGTTAAGATTTCTATACTATTTATTTGTCTCTTAGCCTATTTTTAATTGTCAACCTTACCAGAGATCTGTGTATTTTATCAGACTTTTAATTTTTTTCCCATGTGTCCACATTTTATTTTATTAATTTTCTCCATATTAGTTTTGATTTACAGCTTATTTATGCTATACTCCTCCTTATAGGTTCATGTCTTTCTGCCCTAATTGAAAAAAACATGTCTCAAAATTTCATGCATTTATACATGTATATATACATGTTTATATTTTATCCATCCACCACTGCCTCCCTCCAACTCCCCTTAGAGCCCCTGTCTCCCTGCCAGCTTCATATTCTGTTTTTAAAGAAACATGACCTTAGTTATAAGCACTTCCTCTCTGATGGAAGTTTCGGGCATGAATTCCCCTCTAGAAGCTGTAACCAAAGGCTACACATTTTGATATGCCATATATACATGAAGATGCATTTTTAATGTTTTTACCTCTTTGACCGCGGAACTATTCAGAGGTAGAGCTTAAATTTTCCAAAGTATGAATTTTTGTTTGTTTGTTTAGTGGTCCCTTAACACATTTGAGTTTAGTTGCTCTTTGTGAAAAGAAGTCAGGATGGCGTCAGGCAGTCGGTTACTGTAATGGCTATGATACATGCTACAGAGTGCCTCTGCTACTTGCTGTGGTTTGAGGTGGGTGTGAGAGCAGCCCTCGCCCTCAGCTGTCTGCCGACACCTTCACTCATGCTTCTGAAGCTTAGCCTGTAAGCCTGCCCCACTGAGCTGTGGTGGTTTGAAAGAAAGTGGTCCCCAGAGGCTCACATGGGTGGCACTATTAGGAGGTGTGGCCTTGCTGGAGAAACTGTGTCACTGGGGGCGGGCTTTGAGGTCTCAGAAGTTCAAGCCAGGCCCAGAGTCTCCCTGTCTTCCTGCTGACTGCTCCAGATGTAGAACTCTCGGCTCCCCTCCAGCACCATGTCTGCCTGCATGCTCCCATGTCCCACCGTGAATATGATGGGCTAAACCCGTGAACAGCAAGACAGTGCCAATTAACTGCTTTTCCTTTATACAAGTTCCTGTAGTCATAGTGACTCTTCACAGCAATAGAAACCCTACCTAAGACTATGACTGATTCACCAACTTCCCTCTGGTTGAGCAAGTTTACTTTTGTTATTATGTGTATTGAAACTTGAACTTGGAAGTACAAGTTTCATCAAGGAAATAAATTTTTCTAAAAATCACTTTTATTTCATCTTTAGTTTCTTTAATAAATTACATACAGAATTACTTTACATTCTACACTGATAATATGAACACTAAAGTCTTCAGCAATCTTAATGCCATTTTTGTTGTTGTTGTTGTTGTTGTTGTTGTCTATCCTGTGCCTAGGTCATCTGGAGTTGCTCATGTGTGACTTTTTATGTGATTTTTTTCCCTCAAGGTATTGTGGTCATCTGAACTTAGTCTGTGACTTTTCTAAGGTCCCCACAGAGAATTTTCTTCCCTGGAGAGGATGCTTTTGGACAGGGACAGTCAAATCATCTAGAACAATTTCAGCTTGGCTTATCATCCCGAGAAGGTCACACTCCTTCTGGATGCCTTCCTCATGGTGACACAGCATTGGTTTAAAATCCACAGTCAGGGTTGCTCTGTCCTGGAGCAGGCTGCAGACATCTCTCCCCTGGCACTGAATCTCAGCAGGACACATACAGCCTCACTATCTCCTCATCCCCCCAAAGTTGCTCCTTAAATTGCTGGGTGCCAGCCTCCATCCGACTCTATTTGTGTGTGTTCTCTGTGAGCCCAGTGCACTCACAGAGAAGATGTGCCCTAGAATGCCGCCATCTTCTCCAGTTTGCAAAGCATGAGAAAGCATGTACATTCAATGTGTCCACACTTGGATATTTGGGGTTAGAATTTTTATAATGACCCCACTTCTACACAAATTTTGTTGAACTATTACAGGGCAGGATACATATGTGTACCAAAAAATAGTCCCGGCTCCTCCAGAGTCCTCTGCTATTTGCTCCATTTTAAAGAAGCATGGCTTACAACCTTGGCAAACTCAGCTGGATTCAGCTGTGAATTTGACATGTCTTTCAAAGTCAGAAACAGAAACAGATTTGGTTTCAGGATTCTTTCAGTAGTCATGCCGTCTCATAAGGAGACATCTGCCCAAAGCTCAGTGTCTTTACCTGAGAAGTGAGACTATCAATAGCACAGTTCAGCAGTTACCTAAGACAATATGTGACAAAGAGCTTAAGCACAGGGCAGTGCAAGACTACAGCTTGTGACTGATCCTGCCTAAGGGATACCATTAAGAAGCTCGATTAAGTAAGGAACTGTCAGTAAGACCATGGCCCATCACATCTTCTCAATGTTTGCCTGATCCTCCAGGGCCTCAGAAAATGAGAGCTTTTACCTCACTGGCAGTTGTTACTGTAATTCATGGGATTAAAAATAAAATCCACACATACTCTCAACCATCACTAGAGAAGCTGCATTTTGCTGTAGATGCCGATCAACACAGAGAATGACAACTGCCATTGCGAGAGAGAATTTGGAATGCTCCAGTCTAAATGGGACATCTGAATCACACCCATCCTCCCCAGACCCAGGGAACATTTCAGAAGGGAAGACTGAGAGACATCAAGTCCCAGAAAAGTAGGTAAACACAAGGAGAGAACTTTCCAGACACAGCAGGGCAGACGTGTGAACATATGACCGCATAGCAATTGTGACAATGTGCATAAGACCTGAGGAAGGTCCAGCCAGACAAGATCCTGGAAAGAAGAGTTTGCACAGAGCCTGACTCTAGCTGGGGAGCTATTGCAATTGATAACTTCACATACACACACACACACACACACACACACACACACACACACACACACACACAGAAAGAGAGAGAGAGAGAGAGAGAGAGAGAGAGAGAGATTTTCTGAAACATGTGGCCTCTGGTAGGTTGACCATACTTAAGTACAGAGCACACATCTAAGAGTATATAGGGAGCACAAACTATATTTGGGGAGGGGGTTAAAAAAAAGACAAAAAGTTGGGGGGAGTTGGGAGAGGGGTGAATCTGATCAAAATGCATTGTATAAAATTATTAATAAAATTTCAGGGAAAAAATCTACATATAGGTGCTGGAGAAATGGCTCAGTGGTTAAGAGCATGTGCTGCTCTTCCAGAGGACCTGAGCTCAGTTCCCAGAGCCTACATCTGGCAGCTCACAACTGCCTGTAACTCTAACTTTAGGGGAGTCAATACCTTCTTCTAGCCTCCATCAGCACTTATCCTCATGGGCATATAACCACACACAGACACAAACAGAACATATAGTTAAAAACAGAATAAAATATTTTTTTAAAAACCCATATTAAGGACCTAAAATTGGTAGCAGAGCTTTTATTTCACGGAGGCAGTTCTTCGGCTTAAAGATCATGGTAGGTGGGAGTGCCGGCGACATTCAGAATCAAATACAGCCTGAGACACGACTGCATTTGATGTGCCCTAATTGAAAGATGCATGATGAGTTTTCACAGAATTTGTGAAGAGACGCTACCAACTAGGACTCATGCCTGGAATGGAAAAGGTATTCAGTTCCCAGGGTGTGGAGATTCAGAGGCAAGGGCCAGAGCTGGGATGGGGCCAGGGCTGGCTAGGGCATAGTGCTCGTGTATAATTATTAAGTCATCTTACTTGGTCCCCAGTTCACATACAAGACATGTGGAAACCAATTCCATGCCTGATGAAGCACCAGGCACCCCAAGGAACCATTGATACAGGTACTTTTCTCTACCCCAACCCCACTCACCGGGCTGTGGGACTCCAGGATCTGCACACAGGCTGACTTAGTCAATGTCTCAGACTCACTCAGCTCCCCCAGCAGCAGGTCTTGAATGCTAAGCAGGGCGGTGTAGACTGAGATGGTCTCAGCAGCCCGGGCTACCTTCTGGAACTGCAGAGCCACAAGTGATTCAGCAAAGTGTGCCTCCTGGGCCTCCAGCCTCTGTACCCTCTCCTGGAGCAATTCCCCTCGCACCTGAGAAAAGGGACAGAACCAGAGGACCTGAGGGGCTGTGAGGGAGAAGAGCCCACAGCCTCCCAGAGAGCACAAGTTGAGGATCCCAGGGTCCCTCCCCAGAAGACAGCAGCCTGGCACTCTGCTGGAGCAAGGCAAGGGCTCAGCTGCTGAGGACAGCAGGCTCAGTGCCCTTCACGGTCTTTGTGTATCTTCAGAAGTGAGCAGACTTGGTTCTGTCCACTGCCAGCCCTTCACACGCTCCCCACATGCTGGGGGATGGCAGTCTACACCTGTACCAGGCCTTCTGTACAGGCAGGCCCAGCCACACCTAACCCTCAAAGCATCTTGGTTGGGGCTGGTGACTTTGCCTGACTAAAGTGCTTTCCATCTCCTCTCAGTTGTTTGCCTTTGGCTCTCTGGCTCCTCCCAGCTCCCTCATTCTTCACGTTGTCTCTTCTCTGTGCTTCCTTCTTCATTCTGTGCTCCTCTTCCCATCTCCTATACCAGCCATCATGCTTCCATCCCGCAGGGCCCTCTTGCTCAGCTGTTATTTCAGCACCTGTGTGCTGCTGTTCTCTACTGTCCTTAACACTCTACATTTTCTTCTTTTTATTAATTTTACGTGTGTGTGTGTGTGTGTGTGTGCGTGCGTGCGTGCGCGCGCGCCCGAGAGCGTGTATGCGTGTGTGCCATATAGTGCATGCAGAGGTCAAAGGCTAACTTTTAAGAGTTAGCTCTCTTCCTCTACCATGTGGGCTCCAAGGACGGAACTCTGGTCATCAGGCTTGGCAGCAAGTGCCTTTACCTGCTGAGCTGTCTCCCTGAAGCCCCTACCTTCTTTCTTTATTTTTAATTTATTTTTATTTTTATTAATTACAGTTTATTTACTTTGTATCCCCACTGTAGCTCCCTTCCTCCTCCCATCCCAATCCCACCCTCCTTCCCCCTTCTCTATCCATGTCCCTCCCCAAGTCCACTGATAGGGGAGGTCCTCCTCTCCTTCCTTTTGATCTTAGTCTATGAGGTCTCATCAGGAGTGGCTGCATTGTACCAGGCCACAGCGGAAGACAATCCAGCCTTCTTTCTTTCTTTCTCTCTCCCTTCCTCAAACCTGTAATCCTCCTGTCTCAGCCTCCCAGGTACTACCACCACACCTCCTACACAGACACCGTAAGCTCACTCCCTGAGCCTGGGAAAGCAGGTCACTGGGTGTCCCCGTCCCCAACCCAGGAGCATAAATTGCCAATCAAAAAGAAAGGTGGACAATCCACATCTCCTCTAAGCTCTTCATTTTGTCTTTAAAGTTTCTAGAATTTTACCCATGATAACCAAAAACAAAATCATGCCCACTGTCAGGAATGGGTAAGTGGATAAGTGAAATACAGCCACAGGGCAAGACAGGATTTGGCATGAGATAGGGAGGTAACTCATTGTGGAGGGGTATGGAGGGAGTTAGGCTTAGTGAGAATTGTCAGTCACAAAGGGACAAATACTGTGTGGTCACACTCAGGGAGAACTGTGGTACCCAGGGGCTGCAGTGAAAGCAATTGGGAAGCTGCTCTGGAACCTGTGTGGTGTTTTAGCTTTGCAAGATGTAAATGTCTAGAGCTGGATGGTGGTGATGGCTTAGAACAGTGTAAATGAACTTTAATAGCAGTGGGCTGTGTTCTTAAAAGTAGTTACATTGGTAAATATCCTGTGGTATGACTTAACACAATAAAAAATAAAAGCCCACAGGCCTTGTCCTGCCATGTGACCTGCTTTAATATTTATGTTTGTACCTGATGCTTCTATATCTCAGTAGGACAAAGACACTAAGCTGAAGCTGAGGCTGCCAGAGGAAGACCATGGCTCAGGTACCTCCCATGACTGCCCAGCCCTTCCCTGAATGTCCCCAGAAGAATGGAGCCCTGTTTGAAAGGCTCAGACCTGCACTTCCAGAAGCACTGAGGCTTTGAAACATGGAGGGGTGGGGGTGAGTCAAGACAGGAAGAAGAGAAGGAGGTGCTACTCCCTAGAAGGACATTCAGAAACTTCTGGACATGGAGTACATACAGAAGAGAAAGCCTGCAAGGGACTACATTCATTCAAAGATGCATGCTGCTATGGCCCCTCCCTCCCACCAACAGCAGGATCCAGAACAGCACAGAGCACTAGGGCAAGCATAATATTTCCAAGAAACATGGGCTTACTAGGGAGAGGCAGGTCAGATTCTTTGAACGGTACACTAGACCCAATCTTTGTCCAGTCTGGAGAACCAGGTACCCATCCTGGATGGGTTTCCAAGGTAACTGAAACTTAATAGAGGCCAAGAGCTAGCCAAAGAAGATCGACTTTTTTTTTTTTTTTTTTTTTTTTTTTTGCCAGAGCCTGGAAGCTTTTGCTGAAACTCTGGGCTTCTCAATCAGTCTCTGATGCCTCTCCCCCCCATCTATCATGTGGTTGCTTGCTGACCTTCACCACAGAACCTGCCTGCTTTCTTGGACCCTAATTTAGAAAGTGCAGATTTGTACCCCGTCTTTTCTTAATTGCCAAACATGCTTTGTATCATAGTGTGAAGTCCTTATCCAGGAAAATAGCCAAAAGACACATTGACAGTGTGTTCCTCCCCCAAAAAAGACTGGACCTCCTTTCCCCTGGAGGGTACGGCCCTTGACCAGCCGGAAGCAATTACAAGAATGATGGCCATGCCCATTTTCACTTCTCTGATAGAAACTGAAGTCAGGAAGGTTAACCATAGTAGTGCCATTGTAAAACTCCTCCCTTTGGTTTTAAATAATGACAGTTCCTGAAACTAAAGAAAGTTGTTTATCTAGATTTTCACTCTCCCAGCTCAACCAGTCTCCACTGATGGCTGATCAGGAGAGATGTCCATTCATCTTTAACCCACTCACCCAATTTCCCTAGCCTCCCTACCAATGGAGGACTACGAGCCAAAGAGGAAAGATGTCAGTCTCCTTTCCACATCCTCCGGTCTGTAAGTGGACAGTGGCCTCTGGTTCCTTAGGTCCGTAGGTCTCTTAGGTCTCTTCAGGAATAAAGCATGTGCTGCCATTGAGATGTTGGTGCCTTTGAAGACCTTACAAGCTCCTCGAGCCTCAGCCTTCCCAAGGCACAGTGCCCTGCCCCTGGGAAGATGCTGTGCAGTGGCCCTGAGGGACAGCTCCAGGTAACTGTAAGTGAATATCTTTAATGTGATGCAAGCACAAAGTCTTTTGTACATCCCTTAAGAACGCCACGAACAGAAATTGTTTTCCGCGAATTTTCCCTTTTCTTTCTTTGGGAAGCTTACTTTGTTAATTCCAGCACCTGGTGAGATTATACCTCTATATCAGGTTTGAATCCTTGGGGGAGAAAGATTTGCATATCTATGCGGTATTAATGGGCTGGCTTCCTTACATATTCATGCATCTCAAATGATAACAACTCATTTGAGAACAGGGCCCTGTTAATGTTCTTATTTTAAATAGGAAGTTCAAACAACTTCCTTCCTAGTTTTCCCTGACAGTGCTAGAAGCTCAAGGAAGCCCTTTCTGTGTCCTAAGATGCCCTTTAAGGCCACCGGGTCTTCGTGGGATTCGAAACCACACATCTTACCAGCAAGCAGGAGGCTTAAGCAGGGACTTCCTCACTTACAAGGAATCCCCAGGATCAGAAGAGGCACACAGTGAAGTTCAAAGGCCCCAGAAAACAAGAATGATCAGATCAGGAAAGGACCTACACAAAGGCTGCAGAGACCAAAGGCTCCTGCTGTCCTGCTGCCCACAGCATTGGGCAACATGCCAGAGCAAGAGGGGTCTGGGAACTTCACCAGTCAACTCAGTTTAGCTGCGCCAGCAATTCACCCCATAAGCACTCCTTTTTGCCCTTACCTCTGTAGATTGCCTGCTAATTTTACCCAAATGTCTCAGGAAGTTTTTGATTTTGTTTGGATGAGGCCCAGTTAGGTCACAGGAGTGTTTATCTTCACCCATACTTACTATATGGCATTCTTCTCAATACTCTCCAGTCACACCTCTGCCGTGCTCTTCTTGCTCCTGTCTTGTGTTCTTTTTTTCGCATTTACACCCTCCTCTTTTTGCTTCTCAATTATAACCATCTGTAGCTTTAACAATCTCTAAAATGGGTGTGTCCTAACAGGACCCCAACTTTTCCCTTCCAGCTTCTTCACCCACCTCATTTTTTTTCTTTGCGAAGTCCATCTAATAATTAATCCTTATCATTATCCCCCCACTCCCCTCCGACTCCTAATCTGATTAGCTAAAAACGTAGTGGATGCCATTCTGTCACTGCTAATGGCTGGCTATTACAGGGTGGAATATGGAACCTGAAGACAAGATGGAAAAGCTTGTATTTTTCCAACAAGCATCCAAAAAGCACAGAAACAAAATAAAACTGTAACAATGAGGATTTCAAGATACACAGACCCTCTGAAAAAATCAAACCAACAGATAATAGACATAGAAGAAAAAATACCATTCTAAAGGGGTAGAAAACATTTTAAAAAGAAAAATAACACAAAATTTCCCAAAGTTAGAAAAAGAGGTTAGTTTAGACCATAAGCAAACTCATAGAAATTTGAAGACACACCACTGAATTGCAAATTGGTCCTTGAAGAAATCAAGAAGAAAATAAAAGTATTTCTGCAATCAAATGAAAAATTTTAAATGCCAGACCAGGACTCCAAACACACAAGAACAGAAGAGAATCTCATTACACTACAACGAAAACATTAAATATGCAGAACAGAGTGTATGTTGGAAGCTGCAAGACAGAAGCACATACATGGCAATACCTATCAGAACAAGAGGGAATCACTCAAGTGAAACTTTGAAATCCAGGAGGCCTAGAAGATTATTTCAAGTTCTGAAAGGCAGTAATTGCCATCTGAGAGAACTCTACCCGAAAAAGTTATCCATCACTGCTGCATGAAAAATAAAAACTTCACATGATAAAAATGGGCTAGACGAATTTATGATCATTAAGCCTGCCTTACAGAAGATGCTTGAAGGAATTCC